TTCTTTCCAGCTACTGCAATGCTAAAATAGCAAGGACATGTTATTTTTTTCTATGATGGTCTTTAAGTGACTATAAAATACTAGATGTCAGACAAAGCAAAGGTGAAGATGAAATTCAAAAAGAGGGCAAGGGAGTTCAACCCAAACTGAACTACGGAGACTAGGGTTTCAGGTTTGGAAGTAAAAGTCCAAAGTTTACTTGTTTGTTCCCACTCCCTGATGGTTAATTTCAGTCATTCAATTAATTATTCAATGTCTTAAACTATTTTGATAACTCCTCATTAAGAGAATCAATGCTGATAATTAAAGGGTAGGTCAGGGACCCTATTCACAGAGAGCAGGGGCCCAAATGAACAACATGAAGATAGTAGTTCGCATTCCTGACACATAACAAGGCTGTGAATATCCACAGCACCAGACAGAAAGGAAAACCCAAAAGCATGAGCTTGCAGAGCCCATCACAATAATTCGACATTTGTGTTCACAGCCCAGAATCGATATTACCAAGACTTCCCACCATGCTTCAGTAGCTGTTCATCAATTATTTAAGGGGCTCTTTTGTTCAAAGCTTCTCTTTACAACATTACTTTGTAGCTTGAAATGATCACTTCCTTGAACGTGACTGCAGGATGGGGCTTACTTTACCAGACAAACTTGAGTGAAGAGTGTTTGGGGAGATGTGCTTCCTTTCTCGTTCCTGGTCAGAGGCCGGTCAGGAGGCCTCTGAGCTGTTCAACTTTTGAGTGATACCCCAGATTCCCTGAGGGGTATCATGAGCCAGACACCCACTTGTCCATGAAGTGAGTGCAGCATCTGCAACATCCTTCCGCACCAACAGCCAAGGCCAAGGGGAGGCTATGCTCCTTGAGTTGCTTGCTGAGCTTGTCCTAGCTCTGCTTTGTCAGAGTTCTTATTGAGTTGCAAACAAGGAGAAAATATTAAGATCAAGTCCTATGTGGCCCCAATTTTCTGTCAGTTGTGTCCACTTAAAACTTACATTCAAGTTTTGAGGCAATGCTCTGCTATGTGGTTCTCTTTCTGTATGAGGTGACTTCACAGACTACAAATTCTCAAAAGAGGCACAACTTTATCAAAAGCTTATTAACTGCCAGTCACCAGGTCAACAATTTTTTTAACACAAAATTATTTTTAAAACTCCTGTAAGGAATATGGATGCTTTAATGATATTAATCCTACCAATCCATGAATATGGTATATCCTTCCATTTGTTGTTTATATCTATCTTTTTTTCAATGTCCTATAGTTTTCAGAATACAAGTCTTTTACTTCCTTGGTTAAGTTTATTTCTAAATATCTTATTTTTTTGTTGTTGCAATGGTAAATTGGATTTTTGTCTTTGTTTTTGTTTGTTTGTTTGTTTGTTTTGTTTCTCTGAGAGATCACTGTTGGAATATAAAAATGCTATGGATTTTGGGGTGTTCATTTTGTATCCTGCTATGTTTCCAAATTAATTTGTTCAATCTATTGTGGGTTTTTTTTATGGAACCGTTAGGGTTTTCTATGTAGAGTATCATGTCATTTGTGAATAATGAGAATTTTACTTCCTCCTTTACAATTTGGATGCCTTTTATTTCTTCTTCTTGTCTGATCACTATGGCTAGGGCTCCTAGTACTATGTTGAGTAAGAGTAGTAAAAGAGGGCATCCCTGTCTTGTTCCTGGGAAATGGTTTTAGTTTTTTCCCATTGAGTATGATGTTGGCTGTAGGTTTGTAATATAAAGCTTTTATTATTTATAATTTTTAAGTTGTAGTGTTACATAACTTATTATCAGTTTTTCGTGTGTGTGTGTGTGTGTGTGTGTGTGTGTGTGTTTTAGGTAGGTCTGTAGTGCTATGTGGTCCATATTACTGAAAGCAATCTATAGACACAATGTAATCCCTATTGAAATACCAACGGACTCTGAGCAGAGGCTCCACAGAGCAGGGCCAGGTACTGTCCACACACCGCCATGCATCCAACCTGACAGCTGATTCTGGTCCAAGTCCAACAGCTGAGCAGTTCGATTCTTTTTCATTTTACCCCAGGCCAATATTCTCCTTTAATGAAAAAAAAAATAAGCTATCTTTTAAGTTCATGTTGAAATTCAATAGTGTGTATTTTACTCAATTTTAAACACTGTCAGCATGACTTTCCTCCTGGGTGTATCGGCAAAGAGTTCAGGTGCTGGGCATACACAGAGCGACCTGAGGGAGTGGGGCAGGTGCTGGCCAGACTACGAAACTAGCCCCTTGTCCTGACACTGAGAATGCAGAGCCGTGTATGTCATTGAAGAAATGCTGGAAGGAAAGTAAATCTACAACTTCCTTTTGTCATGATTCCTCATTGTATAACTTCCAGTGGTATCTACTGTGTATGGGCAGGTTTCCTCTCACTGGCTCCTAAATTCTCTTCGACAAAATAGGAATATTCATAAGCCCTCCCAGGTTAAGAAGAAAACTGGACTTGTGTGTGTTAGGGTAGACAACTTCCCCAACAACTTAGTGGGGTCTTGGGAAGGTTCGTGAGTGTTTGTTGAATTTGATGTGTGGACAGAATTCCGCCTCCCTAAGGACAGGCACTAGGCAGGTGACCTTAGGAAGAGCCTCAAACCTGGACTGAGGGGCAGGTGAGGGATTGGGAGGCCCCTGATCCTTCGGGGAGAGCTGCCTGAGCTGACGGCTCTCGCTGGGCAGTCAGGCTTGTAAGTGTAAGAGTGGAAGCATCTGGGGTGTTGAGACCACCTGGGCTGTAGTTAAAGAGCCTAATGCCAGCAGCGCTGAAAGCCTGACTCCCTTGGTATCTCTGCTTTAAATTCTGGGAAACATAGAAAAGTGTCCTCTCTACTTCCCAAGAGAAAGGGGCTAGAAATGATAACATTGACATGCTCTTCGTGAAGTCCCATTTCAGGGCTAACTTGTGAAAGAGGCAAACAGTATGCTTCCCGGCAATAATGGCTGCAGTGCCGCTTTGATACCTGCCATTTTCCCAAATGGCCCATTTATCCCTAGAAGTGTTTCCACCTTAGAAATGTGCCTTGAGTGAGGCAGTGCCTTTTCACTTGCTTTTATTTGGGGCACAAGATCTGGTGTGTGGGCAAGGACGGAGATGTGTTTCATGTACAATAAAATGTAGTTATTTCTTAACTCTCTTTTCTTGCAATGGGGTGGCGGGGTCTTATACTGAAGTCAGCAGAGTATGTACAAAAATCCTAAATGTGCCTACACTTAATTAATCTCCCTAGATTTTATCTCCTAATGCTACAGAGGTTTGGAGAAAAAATAAAATAGTAATCTATATTTAGGTCTGAAGTTTTACATATAGTTCACATTCCCAACATTAAATGTTATTTTTAAAGTTATTTTTCACTTTTGCATTTGAAATTTGCAAGGCTATGATGTTAACACAAGGCAATAAAATAATCACAAAAAATGTATACACCATAAGCCATCAGCAGAATGAATTGTTTAGTACTAATATCAGATTATCAATTCTGGTAAGTGTCCAGTCAGTCAAATTCAAACAAAACTTAGTGAACAAGTGGATATCATCTATTTTGATTCCTTTTGCAAGAATATAATTAAATATATGCAATAGTTACTATTATAAACATTATAGTGCTATTTTCCCATAATTGTGAGGGTACAGGGATCACTAATAGTACAGAAAGTATGTTTCTGGCATTTCTCAATATATAAAATCACCTACCCCATGTTATTATAGTAGTATGTGTGTTCTTATAACATTATGCATTCAAAATCTGGGTCAGTTCTTTCACCTGCAGTAACTTCCTCATAACAGCTTCTGGGAGTATGTGGGGACATGACTGCTGCAAAATCATCAAACCAGAAAAAAATGAATCAGGTTTTACTTCCAATTAAAGAAATAAAATTACTAACAAGCAGAAAAAGAGCTATGTTAAGAGTAAATCACTTAAAGTCTAAAATTTCAGCATTTCAAGATTCCTGTCTAGGAGTTAAAATATTTTAATATGATTGACAAGTTGAATCTAAGAAGTCACTCTGGATCTAAACAGAGACAATTTCACATTTTATTTTATTTTTTGAAATATATTTTTATTAATTTCAGAGAAGAAGGGAGAGGGATAGAGATAGAAACATCGATTAGCTGCCTCCTGCACGCTCCCTACTGGGGTTCAAGCACACACCCTGGGCATGTGCCCTGACCGGGAACCGAATTATGATCTCCTGGTTCATAGGTCGATGACCAACCACTGGCCACACCGGCTGAGCCTATTTCACATTTTAAATGGTTTACCCCTGTGAGTACACATTAGCCATACAAAGCCCAGGGGGTTTTCTTTCTTCTGTGAATATCTCACGACAAAGTTTTGGCAATAAAACATTAGAGTCGCTATGCTTCCTTGGCACTCAGCACAACAGTGCCCTAAAGTTAAAATACCACATTTCAGTTCTGCACATCTCACTTAAAACAGAAACCATTCCAATGATCAAAAGCAAAAACAAAATGCATACACAATAATCCCAACAAGTCCTGCTATTCTTCAAGGTTTATAAAATAAATCTTCGTCACTAGTGAGTCCACGTTCATTAACTATATCTACAAATAGGTTTTGTTACTTTGATCCCTTTCAAAGCACTTTAATGCAAGGGCTAACGGAACAGGTCAAAAGAGATAGAAGGCGGAATGGAACCTATATCCACACTCCTTTGTAAAGGCGGCTGTCCTCCAGGGGTGGCCCATTCCCGGCTGGTGCATTCCTCGTCCCCCCGGCTCTGTGGAGGTACGCTGTCACTGTGCAGCAGCCCCTGCCACAATTCAATGTCACAATTCAATGTGACAAAACGATGAAGCAGAGAGGGGGCAGGGGCAGGAAGCTGAGTGCACTCCTCGCAGCACACATAGGCCCAGATGAAGTCGCTGAAATCCAAGACAGTTTCCCACAAGGAGGCCAGGACAGTGATCCAGGCAAGAAGCTCTGCCTGCTTTGGCTCCTCTGAGATGGAAGCACCTCCCTTTGCTACCGGGTGACCTAAAACAAATTAAATGGTGAGCATTCAATGCCCGGGCCCCCGGAACATACTCCTTCCTGCCCACACCGCCACGCCCCTGTCTGCCACCGTGTGCAGGCTATCAGGTGGCAGCTTCCCCCATAACCAACTTCCCCAAATCAGCTCTTCACCATCCTTTATGCTTCCTGCTTGTAGGTTGCAAAGACAACATGCACAAAGGGTCCCACGTGTGCTATTATGTGTCCTCGCTTTGTATTTGTGCAGCTACAAAACCCCGTGCGAGGCCCTTGGGGCTAGCTCGCACGTGCTGAGCGTGCTTTGCTAACGGTGCTGGAGTTTTGCTGAATGAATGCCGATGAAAATCAGCATATGTCAAGGCCAAAGTGTTGCCTTAGTTATTTTTTATGTAGTTAACTTGCATTTTTTAAGTTATTTTATGAAACTGCTTTAGTTACCAGAAAGATACATCCATTAAAAAGTTTGTTGTTGCCATGGCCAGTTTGGCTCAGTGAATAGAGCATCAGCCTTCGGACTGAAAGGTCCCATGTTTGATTCCCCTCAAAGGCAATGCCTGAGTTGTGGGCTCGGTCCCCTGTAGGGGGCGTGCAGGAGGCAGCCAATCAATGATTCTCTCTCATCATTGATGTTCCTATCACTCTCTCCCTCTCCCTTTCTCCCTGAAATCAATTTAAAAAATGTATTTGATATATATATATATTTGTGTGTGTGTATGTGTGTGTGTTTGTTGTTGTTTTTCCATTTGAAACACCCAAGCTCATCACTTAAAATCTAAGAAAACAGACCAGCAGTTTCTATAGTTTAATTTTTTTAAATAAAAAAATTTTACAGGTTAATCAATACACCAACTAGAAGGAAGAGGCAAAAACCTTAGGACTTTAATATGCCTCCACCAGGAAAATATTTTCAAAGTAAATGATGTTATTTGATAGCATAGTCACCATGGCTGGTCTTTAGATCCAACCAGGTTTTAGTCAAATCCCAGGTTCCCTGTTAACTGACAGAGAGGCCTTTGTTTATGCATCTGCAATAGACAGGCTCCCAGGTTCACCCTAAACAATTCCACCTTCATACACAAAAGCAGCACAACAATACGGTATTGACTAATGGCCATGGCTTTGTTCCAATACAATTTAATTTATGGACACGGAAATTTGGGTTTCGTAGAATTTCTTGTGTTGTGAAATATTATGTTCCTTCTTTCCTACTTTTTCAACCATTAAAAAATGTGCAGCCCCTTTTTAGCTCAGAGGCCATCCACAAAGAGGCCAAAGGCTGGGTGGGGCTGGCAAACCATAGCTTGCTGACTGCTTTCCTGGAGGAAAGTACTGGACAAACAGGCCAGCAAACGGTCTGTCAGAGGTGACATCTGTGTGGCGGACAGTCGATCGCTATGAGGCAGACAGACAGGCAGGAGGGGGAAGCTCCTGCTGTGCGGAGGGCTGTCAGGAAAGGAGATGTCAGGGGGCGCGCCGACTCTGTGGAAGAGCCTTCCAGGTAGAGAGAGGTGGCTGCAAGGAGTCCAGTCCATGCCCGGGAGTGGCCTCTCCCTGACTGTGGTTCAAAGATGGCACAGGAGCGCACAGCCAGATGCAACTGAAAGAAAGGAACTTTGACTGAAATGAGGAAAGGCACAGCCAGCAGGACTTCTGACAGATAGAGCGAAGGATGTGACAGAAAGAGGAATCAGCCGAAACCGGTTTGGCTCAGCGGTAGAGCGTCGGTCTGCGGACTGAAAGGTCCCAGGTTCGATTCCAGTCAAGGGCATGTACGGTGGTTGTGGGCACATTCCCAGTGGAGGGTGTGCAAGAGGCAGCTGGTCGATGTTTCTCTCTCATCGATGTTTCTAGCTCTCTCTCTCTCTCCCTTCTTCTCTGTAAAAAATCAATAAAATATATTTTGAAAGAAAAAGAAAGAAAGAAAGAAAGAAAGAAAGAAAGAAAGAAAGAAAGAAAGAAAGAAAGAGAAAGAAAGAAAGAAAGAAAGAAAGAAAGAAAGAAAGAAAGAAAGAAAGAAAGAAAGAAAGAAAGAAAGAAAGAAAGAAAGAAAGGAAGGAAGGAAGAAAGAAAGAAAGAAAGAAAGAAAGAAAGAAAGAAAGAAAGAAAGAAAGAAAGAAAGAAAGAAAGAAAGAAAGAAAGGAAGAAAGAAAGGAAGAAAGAAAGGAAGAAAGGAAGAAAGGAAGGAAGGAAGGAAGGAAGGAAGGAAGGAAGGAAGGAAGGAAGGAAGGAAGGAAGGAAGAAAGAAAGGAAGAAAGAAAGAAAGAAAGAAAGAAAGAAAGAAAGAAAGAAAGAAAGAAAGAAAGAAAGAAAGAAAGAAAGAAAGAAAGAAAGAAAGAAAGAAAGAAAGGAAGTAAGAGAGAGGAATCAGTCTTTAGCTCAAAAATCCTGACTGAGTTGGTCATCTCCTGAGCTGGAAGGATTGTCTTTCTTTGCTTCCTCACCTGTTAAGTGTGGAAATGCACCTGCCGCCTCCATTGCCATGAAGAGTGAGGGAGACAGTGACCCAAAGAGCGCGGCCCAATGCCTGGCATGTGGCTGATGCCAGGAAATGGCTCTTTCTGGATCCCATCTTCTCTATATGACCTAACAGTGTTTACAGCCAAGAGCTGACATACATCTAGGATGTAACTCTCAAAAGCATCCTCCTTAAGGAAGCTCATTCTCCATGCAGCTCATTTTGGAGCCCATCTACACTGAAAGGTGGAAAAGATTCTTTAAGATTCATTTTCCTGTAAAACCTTGGTTTTGCTAACTGTATAAGGAAGGTCCCTGTGACTTGGGAATTTTGGTGGATCAGGGTGCTAGCATGCCAACATCAGCTCCCCTGTTTTGTGACAGGGGGCCGAGTGTTTCACGCTCTGGCCATAGAGACGAGGGAAGACAAGACCCAGGGGGGAAAAGCCATCTCAGCTGGACCTGGAAAGACAAGAGGAATTTTAGAAAAAGGCAGGGGTCAGGAGGGTGAAGAAAAAAGCAATGGCACGAACACACAACCTGCTGGGTGGGTGGAAATGAAGGCTCCTTTCCAAATGCTTATATTTTTCTAGGGACCCATTAATGGTCTCTCATCAGGGAGGTAACTCCGGTGGCACAGGAAGCAGAGGGGAAGCCAGAGAGCAGGTGGGGAGCTCAGAGAAGCAGCCCTTCCTGCATCCAGCTTGTTCATCAGAGTCACCCCAACAACTCTGCTAGTGTGGCTTTCTAGGCCTGACCCAGGCTGACTGTCCCAGAGTATCTGAGGGGTGGGGATCCACTGATGACAATACCAGGAGGACCTGGTCATCTTAGATTGGATGGTGAGGTCAACAGAGAACTCCTACCTCTGGCTGTCCAATGTAAAATACTGGAAACATTTAGATACTTAGCAGAAACCATCCAAATGAAGTAGGAGGATCAGGTAGGAGCTGGCAAAGAGCTACTAAAAATGTAGACTGTTCTCTAATGCAGAAGCCGTCACTCTCAAACTAACAACCCTGGACCAGATGACCCTTGAAGATAAAAAGCCCCTGGTTAAAAACTACTGCTCTAAAGTATAGCTCTTCACCCTTAGTAGATGTTGTAAAAATCTGAAAATTCTCCAAATTCAATATGATTTACTACTATTTTCAAATAATAGAAAGTCCTGGCAAATGGCTGGCTTTGGTGCTAAGTGGACATTAGGCACATGATGCAGCACCAAGAAGGCAATGCAACTCAGAATTAAGGACATGACAGTGGAGGTGGGATTCCAGAGGCAGTTATACTTTCCCACAAGAAGAAATCACCGCACCATCTCTTGGGACCTTGAAAATCCCACAGGTAGAATAAACCAAACACCAACCTTCATGCTCAGGAAAGACCAGGTGACTGCTTCAGGAACTGTCCCTTCTCATTTCCATACCATCACCGAAGGCTGTTAATGTCTCAACTGCTTACTCTTTTCTGATTTTCCTTTAAATCAGTGGTTCTCAACCTTTCTAATACCAAGACCCTTTAATACAGTTTCTCAAGTTGTAGTGACCCCCAACCATAAAATTATTTTCATTGCTACTTCATAACTGTAATTTTACTGTTCATGAATTGTAATGTAAATATCTGTGTTTTCATTATAGATGCTAAAACCCGGTGCATGAAATTTGTGCATGGGGTGGGGTGGGGTGGGGGGGGCTATCCTCAGTCCAGCCTGCACCCTCTCCAATCTGGGACCCCTCAAGGGATGTTCAACTGCCTGTTTAGGACCAATCCCACCAGGCGAAATGTTTGGCTTCCTCCGCTGCCTGGGAAGCCCAAGCCTCCCTTCTGTTCTCTGTGGCTGTAGCCATCTTAGTTGGGTTTATTTGCAACTTGCTCTGATTGGCTGGTGGTCATGGCTGCTGGGCGTGGCTGCTGGGTGTGGCTTGTTGGTGTAGTGGAGTGGTGCTTAATTTGCATATTACTCTTTTATTAGGTAGGATGGTTCTACAGCCTAAGACCATCGGAAAACACAGATATTTACATTACAATTCATAACAGTGGCAAAATTACAGTTATGAAGTAGCCTCAAAAATAATTTTATGGTTGGGGGTCACTACAACCTGAGGAACTGTATTAAAGGGTCTTGGCATTAAAAAGGCTGATTAAACCACTGATTTAAAGGAAAATAAAACTCTGACATAGGCAGCTTACTGTAGACAAGCCTACAATTAGTCCTTTCTTGTTTTGATGCTGTAATGGATGAACCGCCTAAGGAAAGTGGGAACGATGTTGTTGGGTAGCTGATATCCCTTCTCCAGGGAGGCCACAGCTCAGCCTTCACATGACCCCTGTCTCACCGGTGGTGTAAGGTCGGCATTGATTTTAAGAAACAGAAATTGTTTCTGTGGGTGCACGCTCTGCACAGAAGCTGGCCACAGCTCCACAAGTGAGTTACTGCATCTGCATAAAATCCATAAAAGACATAAAATGTTTTATGCAGTCCAAGTTGCATGACTTGGATTAATAAAGGAAACAAAGTTTTATGACTATGAGATTATTCTCAGGTGGCATATCACTAAAAAAAAAAAAAAAGCAGCTAAGTATCATGATAGCTTAGGGAACTGTATTATGTTTCTACCACTTTCCGAAGAGCCAAATGAAATATCACTTCCGTTGAGGATTTAGCGAGAGCAAACTCATCTCCCCCACACACAGCCAAGATGCCCCTGAAGGTCTGCTTCCTGCAAACGCCCTCCCTGGCTGCACATAAACAGGGAGGGAGTGCTGTGGCAAGAGGCTACTTAGGAACATTCTTTTCTGGAACACGGATTGTGCTCATGGTCTTGTTTCACATTTAAATGTAAAAATCAATACAAGTATAATCTTCTGAAATGCCATTTCTTAGTCTACAAGAAATACAGTGAGGGGAAAAATTTATCATTGATGAATGTACGACCCTAGATCATCAGTAACACCAAGTTTTTTATTTAGGAAGGGGTTAGGGAAATGGCTTAAAGGGGCCGCTGGGAAAAGGACAATGGGATTCTTTTAAGGTGAGGTGTGCTTAGCAAGCACACAGAGTTTACACAGGTTGGAAGTGGACAGGGATTGGCTTAGAGATGGAGCCCTAGAAATGATGGGAGTGTTAACCTCCTTCCTCCACCAGCAATGACTCCATGACCACCCACTTCACTGGATATAAAATATTACACCAGCTTATTTGTCCTAGTCACTGTTCAGTATAATCTATATAGATAAAAGGCTAATATGCAAAGTGTCCCTCAGGAGTTTGACCAGGAGACTGGGAGTTCAATCACTTGCTGTGACATATGCTGACCACCAGGGGGTGGCACGGAATGAAGGAAGGCCCCAGCCAGCAGCCAGCAGCCAGCAGCTGGAGAAGGAAAGCCTCAACAAGCAGCAGGAAGGCCTGGATCAGCCCTGAACACCGGCCAGGTCTAGGAACCCTGCGAATTTCATGCACTGGGCCTCTAGTCTGACATAAAGAGTTATGCTGGGGAAAGAACATTCCAGAAAGGCCAAAGTCACAGATGGGGTGGCATTGCCCAGGCAAGTTTGCCAATCTAATCAATGGCCAGATAACACCAAGGGGGACCATGGCTGAGGTTGCACCTGCGGCCGCTTTGTCTACACTTGCCTTTGTAGTTTTGACTTTATTGCCACTGCTATAGACCCAACCTGAGTCATCTGGAAGCACTTTGCAGTCCCCTCCTTCCAAACAGGGATCCATGTGATACCACCACTTCTGAACCACGATGGAAGCTGGAAAACAAAGGCCCAATAATGCCTGTGACACTGCTTCTTCCTGCAAATGTGGACACATGAAGCTCAGCACACTGACCTCACTGACATGTGGAGTTAGTGAGACCTCACACCTCTGTCTGAACCTGTCTGTGACACTTGTTACAAGTGACATTGGACTCATTATCGTACTCCTCTCCACCTCATTTTCTTCATCTGTAAAAGGGGGGTGAAAGCAGAACCTCACCACAGGATGGCAAGGACAAAGTTAATTCACGCTGGCTTTGGGGCATTCCCTTACATTCTCAGAGAGTGTTAGCCTTTGCTGTGGTCCTCATCTTGGGTGGTAGGTTGCATGTTGATGGTACAAAGTTATGTTTAGTGGTTTATGTTGTCAATAGCAAAGGCTAACAGCAGTCAACATTTCTAATCCATGCGGTGCTCATCTCCTCACCCCTCCTAGCTGGTGCTGAGCACTGCAACATGGGCGGCCACAATAGCCCCTCAGTGTCCACTTTCTAGACCAGCCAGCTCACCTGTAAGTTCACTTCCTTTTACCTCACTGTGCCGGCAGGGGTCAACCAATAAAAGCATTTGTGTTTTAAACCCATGGAGCAGAAAGTAGCGCCCCAGTTCTCTGCGTTTAGAAGCAGAAGAAGAAAAGTGAAGAAAGTACCATCAACTTGGCTGGTTGTTCGCACAGAATCAAAGGGCAAAAGGATTGTGACTGATTTTTAAGGGTGAGCCCAGCCAATAGGCTGATACCCGATAAGATGCTGGGGCCGGGAAGCTGGGAGGGCGGGGAAGAAATAGAAAGACTCTTAGCCCTATTTTTCTTGTTGAAACAGCAACACTAATAGAAAACATCCTCCATTGGATTTCACTTAAACTACTAGTGCCTGAAAAGTATGAAATTCAAGTTCAAGCAAATCTTTATAAATCCTTTTCTTGAAAATCTGACATGGTAATTGGGATTGGTGGAGTTGGGATTCAGCTAATTTCAACATAGCTGTACCTTTGAGGTTAAAAATTATCTTCTACAGAGAAGAGAAAACCAAAGCCCAGAGATGATGACTTGTCCAAAGTCACATAGTTTGAAGAGAGTCAAGCAACATTGAATGGAGGCAATCTGACCCTGCACCCATGCTCCAACCTGGAAATACAGGTGGGCGAAAGCAAGTCTACAGGTGTGAGTACATGAAACAGAGCTTATTCTTATATTGCTATTTATTAACTACTGTGTTATTTTCCACATGAACTGTATGCTTCCCTTTGCCCACCGCTGTATAAGCTGCTCCGTCACATCTGGGATCACTTGTGTGGAATCAGGGATGCAAGCAGGTGACCCAGCGAGCCAGTACATGCAGGCTCCTCTGTCAGGCGACTGCAGTGCAGGTGATGAGGGCGCAGCACGATTTCATTATCAGCTGCGGTGGCCCTTGTGTCTACCCTGATGCAGAAAGGTGGCCATCATTCTTGGTTCTGGCCAAATCCTGAGTTCCTATCCCATCGGTCCCATCAAAACCAATAACCTGAGTAAGGCCATTTTGCGATCTGAGATAACCACTTGCTAGTTAAGTCAGAAGGCGCCAACACTGAGAGGGAACATAGCTGAATGGGTTATTATTATTTTTTTTTTCTGAGATAGAGACCGCCACTGGACGTATTGAGGGAACCTGAGAACAAGTATTCTTCTCAGCCCCAGATATCACAATACTCTCCTCTTCAAACTAGATGGAGTTTTGTCATTTCAAAGCACTTTTGCCTGCTGTTCCTCTTTTGATTGTCCCAACCACCCCAGAAGCAGGAAGTAGAAGTAGAAGATTGCAGGAATAAGCACCAGAGCTTTGGGTAAGTGAGTTAAATGAGAGAGGAAGCAGTAGATTCTGGCGCTCTCTCTCCACCCATCTGTCTCCTAGGCCGCACTGTACAGCAGCTGAGATTGACAAGTGCTCCCCTGTGTCTGGCCGAGCGGCCACTGAGTCATTATTCCTGAATGCCCTGGGTTGGTCACAAGTGGATATAAAGACAAAAGATGGTTCTCAACCCTCAACTTAAAATACCACCCGCAGGACTGGAGAAGTTCCATAAATGTTGACAGAACTCGGTTATATTTATACAGCTTTAAAGCTGAATCTAAAGTGCTTTATCTTCTCTTTAAAACTGTTCCCGAGACCCTGGCTCTCACTCAGCAGAGGACTCAATACTCTTGAGAGGAATCAGAGCCACGTGGACGGTCAGAAGAAGCCTCAATGAGCACGTGGTCAGTGACTGTCCTGAGGGCAGGAGGAGTGGTGGGACAGTGAGTGGCCACTCCGGAAGCCAGTAGACCATGCAGCTGAAAGGAAGGGTCGGCAAGGCTGCACCGGGCACTGAGAAGTATGAAATTCAAGTTCCCAAGGAGGGTGGTCTAAAAAGCAATCTCCAGGGGTCCGAGGCAGGGTTTAGATTGAACCGGGCTCTCCTTGCAGGAGGGAGCCAGGGATAAGGCAGTGAGAACGGCGGGCCAGTGAGCCAGGAAACCTGAGTCCACCTGGCTGGCAGTAGGGAAGGATGCGGGCAGAAAGGGTGTGAAAGACAGGGACAGGTGAGGCGTGCGTCTCAGAAGGTCAGCAGGCAGAGGCTGTCAGACTACTTTCCAGTCCAAAGGGAGGAGTGAAGGGAGGAGTCTGGGGATCCATTCTTTGCAGAGGAAACAGAGTGCCTCACATTCTCTCCACTTCGCTGCAGAGAAATGCCAGTGCTTCCTTGACCTGTGGGACCAAGAACACTCTCAGGCCAGCCCCCTGCAAAGGCGCTGGAGGAGAAGACATGATGGATGGATTCAGGCATTCATCATAGAAAAAACATGCCAGTTCTTAACTACAGAAAAGAATACTGTTTTCCTAGCATTTTGTCTAAAGATTTACATTGAATTTATTTAAGTAAATAAAAAAAGGAAGTATATACGATCAAGCTCTTATGAAATTATTCACCAGTTTTCTTTTATTTATTGGAAAACATGAACTGGCTCTCCAGGGACAGACTCGCAGAGCCTCTGCAAGAGAGCAAGCTGCCTGGACGGAGTGTGCTTCCACTACAGAGGCCTGTCCTGCTTCCCGCAGGGCGCACGGAGGGTGGTGCCCAGGCAGGTACCTGCTCCCCAACTAGCTTCATGTGCAAGACTCAGAGCAAATGTTCTCTCAGAAAAGACAAAAGTGCCACCACAAGAGCCAAACTGAGAGCTGCACTCTCCTTCATGAATTAGCACATTTCTTTGTGAATTAGCTCATTCCTTTGTGAATTAGCACGTTTCTTTATGAATTAAAGATTGACTAAGGAGCTCACACATAGGTACGGACCAACCCCGAGTGTGCCCTGGGTGAGCAGGGGATGAACAGCCTGGGCTGAAGGTCCGGCCACGCTGTGCAGGGCCAGGCTGAGGCGGGAGACAGGAGAGGGGTTCCACTAAACCTACCGCTGAGCGCCGCCCCCCTCCCTGAGCCCATCTCCACAGGAAATACATCTGCGGGAGGCTTACTTTGTTTTCTGTTGATACATTAACATACTTTAAAGGAGAATGCCTTGCCACTTGTATTTGTTTTAAATTATTTCAAAATCCTCAGGCCTTCCTTACTTATGAAACCATAAAGATGCCAATTTGTAATAAGTTTCCAATGTTATGCAGAAAGGAAGAAAAAGACAGTGAGACCCTGGTTTGGGGGAAGTGACTGGTACTTTCTATAAACGTTCCAGGAGAAAAGGAATGTGTCCAATCCGCTGGTTTGCTTCGCGGGTGCATTTTCTTTGCTCTCTGATGGATCAAATGCATTGAGGGTTTTGGTTGTTTTCTATCCCTTATCTCAAATACCATTCCATTAAGCTCACCTTACAATATGGTTTATGTAGATACCTAGATAAGCCCACCTTTGAACAAGTCTAACAGTGAACAAGCTCACTGCTCCAGGGCTGGTCTCCCATTTGTTGACTTAGCTCAGTGGTACTTACACAGAGTTAAGGCTTTCCCAAAGAAAGATGTATTTTCATCCTGACACCTGCACAGAAAGATGCAGAAAACATCTTCCTGGGTCATATATCACCTGGAAAACGGAAAGAGCCACCAGAATACTCTCTGAGGTTCTGTGTTTCTGCTTTAGCTATTTTGCTGTCACCATTGTTATTTCAAGACACTCACAATCTTCTTCAAAAAATTAAGCCATTTATTAATTTTTAGGATTGCTAGATGGCAAGCCCTGCTGATGTGTAAACAAAAAGTCATGCCAACCTGACAGGGAACAAGCACAAACGCAGTCATGACAGCTACGATGTTGCTGTGGGAATCTTACTCTTTCCCGATCACACTTGCTGCTGTCATTCCACACTGAGCACGGGCACTGAGGGGCGTGGTGGGATGCAGGGCAGGACCCTTTGTGATTGGGTCTGCCTCCTTGGCAGAGTGCCCCTTCACACAAGTACACACCCTTGGAGTGAGGACCTCCACGGCAGGGTTTCTGGACCTTGGCACTATTGACATTTGGGGCCAATAGTCCCTTATTGCGAGAGTCTATCCTGTGCTTTGTTAGATGTTGAGCAGCCTGCCTGGCCCCCACCTCCCCAATGACAGTAGCACCCTCTACCCCAGGGTAACAACCCAAAGTGTCTTGAGACATTGTTGGATATTGAGAAACATTATGTGTGGTTATTAGATACTAGAGGTCCAGTGCATAGCATTCATGTACTCGGGGGTTGGGGATAGGGGATGTAGTGGGGGGGGGGGGTCCCCTCAGCCCAGCCTGCACCCTTTCACAGTCCAGGAGCCCTCAGGGGATGTCTGACTGATGGCTTAGGCCTGCTCCCCAGACCTAAGCGGGCAGTTGAACATCCTTAGCGCTGCCACAAAGATGGGAGAGGCTCCTGCTGCCACTGCTGCGCTTGCCTGCCATGAGCCAGAGTCAGCGCCTGTGTTGAGCCTCTGCCACCTGGTGGTCAGTGCACATCATAGTGACCAGTCATTCCTCCTAGCCTTTATTATATAGGATACTCAGCCCAAATGAGAGGCTTAGCTGTTCATCAGACCTCATTAAACTGGGGCTTGTTAAAAGATGCTTACTCCATGGTAGACCCACGCCCCACAGCCTCTGGTCTTCCTCCATGTCCCCAAGGCGGGCAATGCCACAACCTAATGCTTGGAAACCACGCTCTCAGGAATCTCGGGTTGTTTTAGTGAACTTTGTTCACAGCATTCCATGCCCTTTTATACTGGCATCCCCTGCTTCATCCAATCCAGAATACAAATTCCCAGGTGGCCATCAAACTTTAAAATATGATTGTATCTAAGGCTTCTAATACCCACGGCTCTGTTTACACCTCCAGGCTTGTCCCCTGCCCTGTTCAAGCCAGACTGAGCTTCTTCCACCTCCCGAGGTGGCCTACTCATTCTCATGCACTTCACCTGGCTGTGCTGCCCAGATCCCTCCAACCTGGTGAGGTCTCCCCACTGCTCCTCTTCTCTGCTCTGCCCAGAGCCCTTCGCTGACTAGAATTTAATTGTCCATCTCCTGAGGAAAGTGTGGGCTCTTTGAAAGCAGGACCATCCTCCCCTGGTATCTAGGGCACGCCAGGCACCAAGGTGCTAAATGAAAAGTTGATGAATGAACTCACACATGCAAACCACATTTGTCCAGCTCACAAAGTGCGTCTGCAAAGTACACCTTGCTGGCATTCCCCTGGTGACCGGAGAAAGCCCAGAACCCTGCTCCATTGTCAGTGCCAGGGAAACCACACGCAGTGAGAAACCCCTGGGAACTCACAGCTATAAGACAGACCTATGGACACAGTCGGAGCTACGGACATTGCCTCCAGTGCAAACAGTACTCTCATCCCAAAGCAAGTGAGTTCCTACATCTGAGAAAAACTCAGATATCATCAAAGAAAAAAAAAAGTTTCACTGGATAGTTTTGCTCAGTGGCTAGAGCATCGACCTTCAGACTGAAGAGTCCCAGGTTTGATAATGGTCAAGGGCACATGCCCGGATTGCAGGCTTGATTCCCAGTAGGGGCATGCAAGAGGCAGCCAATCAATAATTCTCTCTCATCATTGATGTTTCTATCTCTCCCTCTCCCTTCCTCTCTAAAATCAATAAAAATATTTTCTTAAAAAAAAAGTTTATAAAGAAACTGCCTCCCATTCTTAAGCCTGTTTTATTAATCTTTTTAAACTCACTGTTTAAAAAGCATTCCCTTTGAAAAAATAAAGCTTCATTGTACTACTCATTTATCTCATTTTATCATAAAACCACTCACATGATCCCTGTAGAGCTGTGTAGAATGCAGTTCCCACCACTGAACAGCCTGTATGTGCAGGAGAAGATCCAAAGGGGAAATACCCAAGTAAGCACAGCCTCAATCAAGAAATTCCCAGACCTTCTCCCAAATCCCAAATGTGTATTAAAGACACACTTCAATAATTCAGGGAGATTCACAAATTCATTATAACGAAAAAGCTTTATGGGGGGCAGCTAATTGTTCTCCCTGTTTAACTCATAAAAGCTATAATTTTATGTAAAAGCAATGAAAAAAATGAGATGTGGATTAATAAAAATGCATAAGGCTGTTCCACTTTCTAGGCCAACATTAATTAGTGCCTCCGCCAGCATGTTCTCACCTTTGTTTTAATTTAAATGTAAATTGAAATGAATTTTATATTTCAGCTTCTCTCTATCCTTATTGACAAATAAGATCAGAGGAACTCTCTATTCTTTTGACAAATAAGAGAAGAGGAACCTATCAGCAGAGACCAGGTCTTTCCACAAGCCAATTAGCAGCATGATGCTGCATCATTATTATGGGATAAAGATTAAGCAGGTAAAGCTAAAAAGCCCTAATGGAAATATATTCAGATAATGACTAGAAGATTAGGGGGATGTGAAAACAGAAATATATCCTAACTAAAGCCTGAACTACAACTTCCTACCTCCTCAGTGACCGTGATCCAGTAAACATGTATCGAGCACCAATTGTTTGCCGGGCAATGCCAGGTGCAGGGACACAAATACATAGACAAAATCACAACCCATCTTTCAGAGTTTGGGTGTTCTCTGGCCACAAATGTTGCTCTGAAGTTATATATTTACATAAAACTTACCCTGCACTAGGCACAGCTAGTCAAAAATTTCCATTTAAATTGGTACTAGTCATATTTCAAATGCTCATTTTGAATTAATCACACTTCAAATAGTCGGTGGCCACATGTGGTTAGTCACTGCCAACCATCCTGGCCACACCTGCATCATGACACATGGGTGCAGAGATGCAAAGGAGAACACGTGCCTCATCACAGAAGGTTCTGCTGCTCACTCTCTGCTCAGACACCCCATAATCGGTCCGCATAACCTCCTGGCCTCATGACATTAGGAAGATCAGGCAGTTGGCCAGTGAGGCTGCTGATTTGCCACAGACACAACCAAAATGTCCCTTCGGTATAAGAACGGCTGTATGCATTATGGCCTATCCATTGACTAAAGCAGGTGGAATTAAGAAGTATCCAGTGTGATACTATTTGTGTACAACACATACATATAAAAATCTACCACATTTTCCACAAATCTATCTTAACCACACATATATACAGAAAACTATATCATCCAAACAGAAAAATGTAGCCTTAGGGTGGTGGCCAAAGGGCATTTTGCTCAAATATAAAACAAGCTAGTTTAGGGTAAGGTATTAATATTCCCTTTACCAAGAGAAATATGCTAATAGTAATTGCTACGCCATCCCTATTTTCCAGGTACCAACACTCCAAGTATTTCCCTGGCAAAGTGGCTCTATTAAAAGGAGCATAGCCCATACACCAACAGGAGGTGGGTTCAATTCCCAGTTAGGGCAAGACCTAGGTTGTAGGTTCAATAACATGCTGGGATGCATACAGAAGGCAATAGATCCATGTTGCTCTCTCACATCAATGTTTTTCTCTCACTCTCTCTCCCCAATTCCTGTCTCTCTAAAATCAATAAACATATCCTCATGTGAGGATTAAAATAAAAATACTTTTGTATTATTGTAAAACATGATTTAGACATATAAGACTTAGTAGCCAAAGGTAGATTTTATTCTTCAAACAGCTGGAAGTCACCAAACTGGTTTCAAGAATAACAGTAATATGATCAGTTCTGTTTTTTGGAAGCATCGTTCTTGCTACAGGGTGGGGAATGGAACCTGGGGGGTAGTAAGATCAGCAGGATGTGGTGTTGCCCCTAACTGTGGGGGTGACAGTGGGATGGAGGAAAGTGCACTGACCTGAGAGAGCAAGGAGACAGAATACCTATGACTTGGCTTCAGTTGATGGAGGAAATATATAATATACTGTTTCAGTTGGGGATATAGGAACTTAGCAAATTTCTTTTATATGCATTTTTAGTGTTAAAGATCTTTACCTTTTTTTACAGGTACACCTATAATCCCCAAATCCAAAAAGCTCTGAAAATGAAAAGGATTTCTGTAAGATGGCAGCAAAACCTGACTTGAATTAGCATGAAGCCCCATTCTGCATGACCATCATATACCTCACTGTAGATATAGTAATATCTGTGATTACGGGGTGCAACTGAAGAAGACAGAGGGTTTATTATGTAATAGATGGTATATGCACTATGTTACCTTCATAAAAAATCTGATGACACCTGAATTTTGGTGACACATTTGGCTCTCAGGGTTTCTGACCAAAAAAAATAGAAGGGAAATTTTCCAAGTTCCCTCTCCAGCTTTAGAGTAACTGAGATTACACTGATACACCACCACTGGTGAGCAAACAGCCCATAAAGATGTGCCTGGAGGATAGAGGTCAGCTATTATCATTGATTGTGCAATAGATCTGTAGTTAAGAACATGGCCCTAACCAGTTTGGCTCAGTGAGCCGCAAACTGAAGGGTCCCAGGTTCAATTCAAGTCAAGGGGATGTACCTTGGCTGTGGGTACATCCCCATTAGGGGACGTGCAAGAGGCAGCTGATCAATATTTCTCATCGATGTTTCTAATTCTCTATCCTTCTCCCTTCCTCTCTAAAGCAATCAATAAAATATATATTTTTAAAAAGAATATGTGCGCATGTGTCCATGTATGGGGGCATGTGTCTGTGAGCATTTGTGTCTGTGTGTGGTGCACATGTGCTTGAATTGCCAACCTTTACATGTGCATCAGATAAGCCTGGGAGAGTTCATTTTCTGGTAGGTTTCATGCCACTGTAAAGAAACTCTATAAGACTTAAGCTCATAGCTGTTCTCCTGGGAACTTGTGTTTCTAACAAGGTGTCTCCTGGGAAAAGGCAGGACATCAAAAGGAATCCTTCACTCTGCTAGGTATAGTATTCTGCTACGATTTGGAGACAACAAATGAGTAATACAAAATCCCAAATTGTTCTCTGAGAAGTTGCACCAAAGAAGATGCTTTATAATATATGTTAAAATAATAATAAACTAGAAATTAAGAAAATACTTGCCTATAATATTAACATAAGATGAGAAAACCAGGCTGAGTCCAGAGTTTGAGAGGAGGAAGAAGAGCGTCTAAGGAAGCAGATGGGATAGTGGGTCAGAAGAAGTGAAAGCACATCTTTCTGACTTCCAGTAATGGAACTCCCACTGGTACATCTTAAGAGACATCATTACCAATCTACCTTACTAATTATGAAATTTGTGGAGTTAGATTTATGTTCACGTTTGAGGTAACACTGAACTAGAATAAACCTAGTTTTCTTTGCATGGCAAAGACAGTAAAGTTGGGAGATTCTTGGTAGTTGTAGGCCCTTCCTGCAATATTAGGTAAACAGATCAGAAGGCCTTACCTTCAACACAGGAAGGCTGAGCCTGAGTGGTGCCGGCCACCTGTCCCGGGAAGCATGAACACTTGACTGTGATCGCTCTTCTATGTGGTTTCTGTTACAGCACCTGTGCACAGCCAGCACATCACAGGTCCCCAGCTGGACTTGATGCTGACCTGGTAGGAAATGGGAAAAACAGACCCGGGGCTGTTATGAGGAAAGGACACCACCAAGAACAAGAATGATGCTATGACTACATTTTCCCACTTCCTATGCTGCCTAAGAATCTTCGCAACTTTTTATTTGGTGCAATTTCACATGCAAACTAGAGGTCTGGTGCAAGAAATCATGCACAGGTGGGGTCCATAGGCCTGGTGGGTGAGCAGAGCCAGGCCGATCAGAGCCCGAAGGCCCTGGCAGAGTCAGGAGAGGAGGCGACGGTCCCCAGGCTGGGTACAGAAGGAATAGATGCCAAACACCAACGCTGCCCTTAGAACCCCGCCACCCCATGGTTCCCCACTTCCCCCCTCCTTCCCTCAGTGCCGTGCCACCACTGGGGGCCTTCTGACCAGGGGAGGGGTGGAAGGAGGGGCCAGGAGAGGTTTCAGTCCCAGGAGGTAGCAAATCAATGATTCCCTATCATCATTGATACTTCTATCTTTATTTCCATGTCTGAAATCAATCAAATTATATATATATATATATATATATATATACATATATATATATATATATGTATATATATATATTAAAATGCAAGGTTTTTAGAGGAAGAAAAGTAGTACAAGGGAGCTATTGACAGGGGGCATTTGAGATCTTGCTCACATTTCAGATAGGGTAGCATAAGGTGGTCCTCAGGGGGCAACAGGTGAGGAGTGGCAGTGGATGGCGCAGGGCACTGCAGGTTAAGGAATGGGCTGTAATGACGGGGAATGTCTGTGACAGTGACACCGAGTACACTTTGGGGACATCGCTGGGATCATTCATCCCCAAGAGGTTTTGACTCCGGACGGGGGGGAGAAAACGGAGATCAGCTGGCCTTTCTTAGCCTAAAAGGTGAGGCAGGCAGCAGGAATGGGCTGCCCTGCTTCCCTACAAATGTAAACACATGGTGTGACTGCACATGGACGTCAGTCTGAGGTCAAATCAATGCCCAGCCAGCCCTGGTGGCTGTGTCCTGCTGCTCTCTGGCTGTGCTGCAATGCTATTGGCCGGGAGGCCGAAGCCACGACCAAGCACACATAGTATATGAAGGGGCAGGCAGGAAGCCAGAAGCTGGAAGTGGGAGCTGAGGTGGTCCTGCAGCGCTACGTCCACCATGGAGCTGGACAGGGAGCAGCTGTCGGTGCGACCAGCTATGGAGTCAGAAGGGCTGCACTTCCTCACCTGGCCAGTGAGTCCCCACAAGCCAGCAGAGTGCCAGCCAGGCTGGTGGAGCCTGAGGAGGCCTTTCCCTCCTGGAGTCCTTCTTCCCAGTGCGGCAGTACCAGCTGCTTTTTTCTTTTTGTCCCTCCAATTTATTTTTTTAATTGGAAAGCAAGCTCTAGGCTTGCGGTTCCTGGGATTCCTGGTCCATAGCATGTGCCTCCAGGCCTCACTGTGCCTCCTGCCCCCTCTTCCTGCATTGAGCATCTGGCCCCTGGTGGTCAGTGCTCATCATAGCAACTGGTCGACTGGTCATCCTGGTTGTTGTGCTGTAATGGTGACGGGGCTTTTATTACATAGGCTGTATATAACCATGTCGGAGAAGGGAGGTGAGGTCAAGATGACAAAGCAGGAAGAGCTTGGGCTCACCTCCTCCCACCAGCACATTAAATCTAACTGCAGAACAGACTCTCTACAACCGAAACTATAGAGAAAAAGCCACATCACGATGGGTAAGTGGTCAGCAGAGAGACATTCCACACTGGGAGGGCTAGCACAGCCTGGAGGCTGCTGGAGGAGTGAGGCGTCTGGCCCACCTCAGGCTCTCCAGCGGGGACCTGCTCCAGGAGGAGGAGCCCCTAACATCTGGTTGTGAGAACCAGCAAGGCTTGTGTTCCAGAAACTGAGGGCTCTGGGAAAGCGAGCACCCTCCCTTCCAGGGTCTCTTCACAAGTCACTCATTCTGAATCAAAGCACAGGGGCCAATCGTGAAAGAGATATATTCCCTGATTTTAGGGTGACCAATGGAGGGATTTGGTGGGCTCTCTCTGGGAATAGTGAGTGGCTTTCTCTCCTTGTTTATTTTGTTTGCTCTCTACTCTCCAGCCTGCCTGACACTCTCCATTGTGCTATCAGCAGGCCAGGCCATCAGGCAAATGAGCTTCAGACCAACCTACCGAACACAGTGCCTTCAACAGTTGCAACCCAAGCACAACAAGAGCATACACAGCCCACACAGGAGATTCCCTGGAAAACCAGGCACTGTTGACCAGGGGGTTGCACTACTGACACCTTATATATAAGGTCACTCTTCCAATACTGTGAGACATACCTAATACACAGAAACAGTCTTAGGCCAAATGAGGAGACACAAAATTTCTTCCATATTAGAAAACAAGACAAAACCTAAGAAAAGAACTAAATGAAGTGGAGACAGGCAATCAACCATATAAAAAGTTCAAAGTAATGGTCATAAGAGTGCTCACCAAACTTGGGAGATGGATAGATAAATACAGGGAAAACTTCAATAAAGATAAAAACACCAGAAGGAAATAATACAATAATTAAAGAAAAATATACTAGAGAATATCTATAGCAAATATGAGACAGAAAAACAGGTCAGCGATATGGTAGACAAAATAGTGGAAACCATGCCGACCTGATTGACAACTAACTGCTCCCCTGCTGGCCCAATCACCCTCAACTTCCCTTTTCTGAAGGCCCCGTCCTGCGCAACTGCCCTCCCCTGCCTGCCATCTTGTGATGACATGGAGTGGCCATCTTATGACATCACAGGGTGGAGATTTTGGCGATCTTGTGACAACCTGGGGGTGGCCATCTTGTGGTGGCCATCTTGTGATAATGGGGGTGGCCATCTTGTGATGACATGGGGGTTACCATCTTGTAGTGGCCATCTTGTGATGAAGTGGAGGTGGCCATCTTGTGACATGAGTGTGTGAGGGTCAATTTGCATATTACCTCTTTATTATATAGGATAACAAACCATTGGGGAGAGCAACCAAGGGAAAAAAAATCTCATTTACCATTGCATCAAAAATAATAAAATACACAGGAATAAATTTAACCAAGGAGGTGAAATACTGGAAACTATATGATATTGAAGAAAGAACCTGGGAACACAAATAAATGAAAAGACATACCATGCTTACAGTATTGTTAAATGTCTGCACTGCCCATAAAGCATTCATAGGATCAATGCAATCCCTATCAAAATACCAATGGCATTTTTCATAGAACTAGAACAAATAATCTTAAAATTTATATGGTATACAAAAGACCTCAAATAGCTAAAGCAATCTTGAAAAGGAAGAACAAAGTTGGCGGTGTCATACTCACTGATTTTATACTACAAAGCTATAGTCATCAAAACAGTCTGATACTGGCTAAAAAGTAGACATATAAATCAAAAGCTCAGAAATAAACCCACTCCTACATGGTCAATTAATCTATGACAAAGGAGGCAAGAACATACAATGGGGAAAAGACAGTCTATTTAATAAATGGTGTGGAGAAAACTGGACAGCTACATACAAAAACATGAAAGTAGAGCACTTTCTTATACTATTAAAAAAAAATAAAATCAAGCCAAAACTGATTTGGCGCAGTGAATAGAGCGTCAGCCTTCGAACTGAAGGGTCCCAGGTTCGATTCTAGTCAAGGGCATGTACCTTGGTTGTGGGCACATGGCTGTGCAAGAGGCAGCTGATCAACGTTTCTCTCTCATTGGTGTTTCTAGCTCTCTATCCCTCTCTCTTCCTCTCTGTAAAAAATCAATAAAATATATTTTTAAATAATAATAATAAATAAAAATAAACTCAAAATGAATTAAAGACTTAAATGCAAGACAAAACACTATAAAACTCCTAGACTAAAACATAAGGAATAAATTCTTTGATATCAATATTAGTAATAATTTTTTATGTATATATGTCTCCCTAAGCAAGGGCAATGAAACCAACAATAAACAAATGAGACTGCATTAAACTAAAGAGAGTTTGCAAAGGAAAGAAAACTATCATCAAAATTACAAAGCAACCCACTAAATGGCAGAATACATTTGCAATTTTGATGCATGCAACAAGTTTTTAATATCCAAAATATATAATGACCTCATACAAGTCAACATTAAAAAAAATCTGATTTAAAATTAGAGAATCTGAATAGAGATTTTCCCAAAGAAGATATACAGATGGCCAACAGACACATGAGAAGATGCTCAACATCTCTAATCATCAGGAAATGCAAATCAAATCCCAATGAAACCACCTCACACCTGTCAGATTGGCTATTAATAAAAAAAGGGTTATGGAGAATGTAGAGAAAAGGAAACCCTCAGGCACTGTTGGTGAGAATGCAGATTGTTGCACCCACTATAGGAAACAGTATGGAGGTTCCTCACATAGGATTGCCTTGTGACTCAGCAATTCCACCTCTAGCTATATATCAAAAATAAAAATAAAACTAATTCAAAAATACATGCACACTCTGTTCACTGCAGCATTATTTAAAACAGCCAAGATATGAAAGCAACCTCAGTGGCCACTGATAGATGAACAGATAAAGAGGATGTGGTACACAGACACACACACACATATACACACACACCACAAACACACACCACACACACACACACACACACACACACACACTGGAATATTACTCAGCCATAAAAAAGAATGAAATCTTAACATCTGTAACAACATGAATGGAGTATAATGAGTGAATTAATTCATAGAAGAAAGAGAAATACTATATGATCTCATTAATATGTGGAATCCAAAAAATAAACAAAACAAAAACAGACTCATAGACAGAGAACAGACTGATAGTTGCTGAGGGGAAAGGATAGGGTGAAGGTGAGAAACATGAAGGGGATTAAAATGTACAAATTCCCAATTATAAAATCAGAAAGTCACAGACTATACTGTGAGACATAGGGAATAGAGTCATAATACAAAAATAACCTTGTAGGGTGTTGGTTGGTTACTAGACTTATTGTGGTGATCACCTC